AACTTCAACACCAAATAATTCCATTACTAACAAATATTTAAGTCGATAATAATAAACATAAAGAAAAAAATTACAATAAAGATGAAGAGGGAGTGGACTGGTCATGATTAGAATTTGAAAATTAAGGTTTGAGGTTTAGTTGCAATATAAAGATCATTATGAAAATATACATTTTATTTTGTCAAATTAAAAAAAAAAAAAAAAGTTACAATAAAGATGCCACACCTCTCACCTTTATTGTAGGAGACAATAAATAATTGGGACATATGATTTAGTCAGTATCTAATAAGTATAACTTTTTTTTTCCTTAAGCTTGAGAATTCAAATCAGACTAGCCAAATTTGAACACATGGCCTTAAAGTTACAAATCAACTTAGCACACCATAATTAAGTGCTTTTTTCTTACTACACCACAATTAAATTCTTGAAGCAATATGTAGTAGAATATAGTATGAGCATTTGCAGCCAGCCACACAGTCACCACGCCTTAAGTATGAATACTAGTCGAACATATCAACAAACATGTGCAATACATTCACTATTGTTGCAATAAGGAGGGGTACAAAAAGAATAGCATAGTTGAACCCAATAATAAACAAACATGTTCGAAGGCTTGGGATCTCACTTCTAATTTTGAGATCCATCTGCAATTGATCATCTGTTAAGTTTCTTTTTCAATGTTGCATCCAAGCTTGGCATTTGATCGTTTATCATGGTTCAACACAAAATGCTGCTTCCGACTGTGTTAAGAGTCCTGTTGTTTTTCCAACTTCAGTGAGAGTTCCTTGTTTTATAGCTCTTGTGAGAGTTTTATATTTTCCAATTCCATGTTTTTTGGCTCAGGTGGGAGTTTCGTGTTTCTGACTCTAATTGAGTTGAGGAAACTGCTTATGATTCTGGCATGATGGACGACTGTGGCTGCGTATCTTCGATCCATCTTTTCAAACTCAAGTTGGGTTATGCTATACCACTTGAGTTTGAGGGAAATTTTGAAATATTTTAGATATTCAGTTCTAAATTTAGTAAAATTTAGACTTAAATTTGGTCTTATCTATAGATTACACTACTAAAAAATCGACTTTTTGTAGCGGTATAAAATTCGTAAAAAAATCCCATCTTTTTTGCAAGAAGGTCTTTCGTGTCGACTTTGTTATGGATTTTAACTGCTACAAAAAGTCGCGGTACAAGAAATCATTGTTGCGGCAAAATCCGTAACAAATAAGTGATAGTCAACATAGTAAATAAACATGTTTTAATTGTATTTTTTACATTTTTAATACGTAACAAAAGAATTGATCATGTTTTCGTGACGACATATGTGCGTATCAAAAAATGTGGAACAAAAGTGAAATCTTGTCAAAAATCTTTTTGTTACAAAATATATTCTAAACAAAAAAGGCGATACAAAAGTAGAACTTTTGTCAAAAAACTATTTGTTACAAAATTTATCATAACAAAAAATAAAGTACAAGTAAAGTGACCATGAAGTACCATTTATGTCGGGCAATGTTTGTAACAAAATGTTGCTACAAAAGGCTTCTTTGCGTCAAATGAGGATTTCGTTATTAATTTCGTCACAAATAACATAATACATGTTTTTTATATCAAATACAAAAATTATAAAAAAAAAATCATACAAAATGACACAGATCCAACAATATTTTGACACGCCAAAAAGATAAATGTAATATTTTGCCCCCAACAACCTTATCTATGAGTACGAACACACATATCCAAAATCTAGAATATTGAACATCCAAAAGATAAAGAAATAAACATATGTATTAACTTAGTATCATGAGCACATATGTTCTGTAATTTTCCAAGAGGCACTAAAAAATGACGACGCAACTGCAATGGAAAAACAAACTTTCCAGGAAGAAGCTGAAGGACGGCCAAAAAACTGAAATAAAATAGAAAGTTATATAAGATTTTAATTTCAAAATGACAAATACAAAGCATATACCGCACTAGAGAAGATCTTCCATTTGCTTAACACTTTGAACAAACCAAGATACACATATTATATACACAACTACAAACTATAATAAATTTTTTTTTATCAAATTCTTATATGAACTATCTTTTAAATAAAAAACCAAAATATAATATTTTTAATTCATCGCTAAATTAACCAAAGTAGCCTTTGATTTCATTCAATACATAACATTAATAATTCATCACCTAAATTACTCAAATAATTCTCAGATCTGGCCTTTCTTTGGGTCTATCGTAATGATTCCATCTAAATCAATCTGAAATAACTCTATAATATGTTTAGCATTTAAAACTTCGATATGCTGCAACACAAGAAAAGAACAAAAAGAAGGAAAAATCTATATTATATGTGGCACGCCCTATGGTTGAAGCACCATACAAGTATAGTTTAACTTTAACACGATCATAGGAATCTTGGATGGAAAATTGTATACAAATTAAGCCAGTAGAGTTTCATGCAGTGTACCATGATGATTAGATCCAAGTAGATCTATGTAGATAGTAATAGTGGAGCATATAATATGAAAAGTAGTATTATGGGGGTATAATCATCTTATTAGAGCATTCAAGATGATGAATGGGGAACAAACCAAAACATCATTCAGTAAGTGGCATAGCTGACGTAATTAGTTTCATTTATTTGCAAACATCCTAGAGTCTTTATAAAATTCCAAAGGGCCCTTTGGACCAGGACGGATGTAGTATATATTAAGATTAAAATAATTAATTAGTGTAATTAAAATTTTAAAAATTATAAATTAGAAATTCAAAAAGAGATTAAAGTGTATAATATTTTTTTTCCAAAACAATAAAGTGACATGAGATGTGAGACGCAAAAAAATAACAATGTGATGTTTCAATTTATTTTCCAAAAATATCAAGTCAAATATCTATGTTTTATTTATTAATTACACTAAAAATTAATAAAGTTAAAATATTATCAATATATACTTATATCACGTCAAATAATTATTTTAATTTAAAATTTTAGTATTTGAAACAAAAACTTTAGAGGTAAGCAAACCCTTAAATGGTTTGATACACATTTTTACGAGTGGTCCAGGTATCTTCTAATCTTATAATTCAGGAGGGTCCTGAAAAAATTACAATAATTGAATAAAGACATTGATCAACAGTTGAGATTACATGCAGAGGTAGATATGTAATTTAATTCATATAATAAATATAGCAATTATTAATTTCAGCATAAATCTAATATAATACAAATATAAATAAATGTTTATCGCGCTCATTATCAGTGGTTTACAATCAAAATAATAGAGAATTCGGAGCGTGGAACAAAATGTAATAAAATAATGTGCATTTTGGTGAGTTTCATTATTCCATGAACGAAGATAACGTTCTAAAAAATGAAAAATACGGTAAGTTTTTTCTATTTTTTTATCTATCGTGAAAGTAACGTACTAATAAATTTTTATTACATCATATCTTTATCTTTTGAACATAATATGTTAAAGATACATGCATCATAATCATATTATTCATTCAACATATCAATACTTATACATAGGAATTATTGAATCAATTGCCAAAATAGTAGATAAATTGCAGGCTTCCGATAATACAATAAAATACATTAAATTTATCTGAATGGTCGTACCCAATAGTTGTGGTTTGAATATAAGTTTTGTAGCAAAATTTAATCAATTGCTTTGTGAAATCGTATTTGAAACCAGTAAAGTAAGGAGCATTATACCTTATCCAAATTTTAAAGTGTTGAATTATACTATTTTCCCTTAAATTTAGGGTTAACCTTCTAAAATTACGAAGACTTGAAAGAGTTTCCAAATTAAATCATATCTATTCTTTTTTCATTATTTTAATACTTAAAAAACGTATAGAATATTTATTCTGTCACATACTATATAAAAAAAGGAAGTCAAGTAATTTAATTATTCAATATCTGTGCGGGAGCGAAAGCATAATACTATATTCTATAAACCATATTATATTAAAATAAACAATATATTTTATAACGGTGTATATCTGATAAAGACGATTTTTCATTTGAATACAGAGAATTTATTATGAAAATTGAGTGAAGTGTGCATTATTATTTAAAACTAAACCCCTTTTATAAAATTGATTTATGTTAATTATAAATAAATAATTTTATTTATTTATTTGTATTATAGAAAATTTTATTCTCTACGAAATCATATTTATAATGCATATATTTTTTAATTGCTATATAATTTTTAAATATTTAAACATATATTTTAATTTTTTTAATCATATATATTAAATTTACTTTAAAATTATAAATATTATTAATTACATAAAAAATAATATAATAATATAATAATTCATTATTATTAACTAATTAATCATTCTTACCTTAAATACTGTCCCTAATCAAAAAGTTGAATTTCGGTCGGAGGGAGTAGTTTTTAATTTTTTTTAATAATAATAATTTGATAAAATATATACTATATATATTATTTTTTTAAAAGAATAAAATTTTATATAATACAATTAAATAAAAAAATGTAAATATTTAGTTATAATTAACAAAATTAATATTCAAATTACACTATTATTATTTTCATAATTTTTATTTATTACATATTTTATTAATTTTTTTTTATCTATCAAATCAATACAAATTAAAACCCTCAAACTCAAACCAAAGATATAAATCAAATAAACATGAAATTTCAAACTCAACCTAAAATTCAAATCTAATTCAAATTCAAACTCAAACATAATGAAAAACACCATATGCTATATCAATGATAATCAAAGAAATCCGTAAATTAGTTGAGTGTACTGCAGCACAGTCTGTCCCTATTATTATTACTATTTTTATTTTTTTTTTATAACATGGAACGCAACAATCGAAAGTGTGTCATTGAGTAAATTCCCACGGAACCCAACCCAAGTACACATTGTTGTTGTTATTATTATTATTATTATTATGTTCAAAGTAGAATTTGTTATTATTTCACCACAACCAAAACGCGACGTCGTTTAGATAGGATTAGGACCATTAGCCATTAGGTTTGGGTTGAAGCTTAAGCCTGTGAGTGTCAGGGGTGCGGTGCGGGGTGCTGTTGGCACTTTGGTAAGCAGACTGCACACAGGCACAGGCAGGCTATAGCCGCCTATAGGGTTGGGTGCTCTCTTCGCCTTCGTCTTCGTCTTCGTCTTTGCCGTCGTTCGTCTCCCATAAGAAACATTTTCAACTCCACACGACCACCATCATATTCATATTCATGGCCATCTCTCATCTCGCCTTCCCGATCCCGATCTGGATCTGCCTCCTGCTCTTAGCCGCCTCCTCCCTCGTCGCCTCCGACTCCGAGGGCCCATTTATCGTCGCCCACAAGAAGGCCTCTCTCACCAGCCTCAAGTCCGGATCCTCCGAACGCATATCCGTCTCTATCCGCATCTACAATCAAGGATCAGCGTACGCTATCTCCAGATCTACTCTTCTTTACAACTTAATTATTTCTTTCTCTTTTATTCACACGTGTGATTTCGCTGCTTTACCCGCTTACTTGTTTATCCTTCCCTCTTCTTTCCTTTCCTGCTATTATTATGCTTCTTTAATAGATAGATGCATTAATTAAAGGATGGATTTTGATTTGGTTTCCATTTACATGTTATAAACAAGTGGCAAGCAAGCCCAAGGCTTGTTAGGATCTGGGTACTAATAAACTGTGGAACGAGTCTTCCAGATATCTTTGTTACTGGAGTATAATTCAAAGCCTTCTTTCCTTCTCTGCCTGTTGATTGTTTAAACTAGATATTCTAGTCGAAGATGCTAGATTGGAAGGAACTATTCCAACATTTTAAGTTCATTTGTCGTGAAAAAAATTAAAAACTATCCTTAATTAACACGGGTTGATTTGGGTCAAACTTAAGGGAACAGTGCCTCCAAATTTGTTGCATGTGTACGCAAGGGTCGACAATTACGATTACAATTACTAGGACTGGACTTCTTTATTTGATGATAGTTTTGGAAGTGGTTTATCCCTGCTCTCCTTGCCGCCAAGTACGCAGAACTCCCTAATGGGTTTACCCCTTCGTTTATGTTGGTTTAATACTAACTAAACTATATCATATGCTGCCTGTACTATACCCTTTACCATACCATACTATGTATTTAGATTAGAACCATCAATGAATCTCGTAGAGCTATCACTGTCATAAATGTATATGTCCTTTTTTATTGATGTTCTAGCGCGTACTTACACCACTGTTCGAGTCTGACTCGTGTTTGCAATTCTTGTGTTGTAATCTATCCTCTCATCTTCAATTGCATGTTCAGAACCGCATATGATCTGACGCTTAATGATAATAGCTGGTCCCAAGATGTTTTTGATATTGTCTCTGGCAACACATCGGTTTCATGGGAAAGGCTTGATACGTAAGTCAATCAGAAAAAACTTATACTGCAGTTTAGTCTTCACATTCTTCCCATCCCCCCTTTAAACTCTATTTCATAGTACTAATATATATATATATATATATATGTTAATTCATCTCATCTCAGTGGTTCTGTCCTGTCACACTCCTTTGAATTGGAAGCAAAAACAAAAACACTTTTTTATGGAGCGCCGGCAGTTATTACATTCCGTGTACCCACTAAATCTGCCTTGCAGGTTTGTGCTTGAGATCTGAACATGAAAATTGTGGCATACATTGTTGATATTGTATTACACATATCATTTGATGATTTCTCAGGTAGCGTACTCTACTCCAATTCTGCCTCTTGACATTCTAGCTGATAGACCTCCTGAGAAGAAGTTTGATTGGGTAAGTGCTGAAAGAAATTTCTTGTCATTTTTCTGCTGCTTTGCTTCTCCCCTGCTATTTGTTGAGTGACATCCCTTTTGTCTTTTGTGCATCTTTTCTTCCTCATGGAATTGTTTCGTGGCGGCACGGGACCAAAACCATTTAGGCTAAGGTATTTCTAAATTTTAATATTCTGTGTACAGCACCATTTTACTTACTGTGTATGGTTCCATACCACTGGTATATAGTCTGGCGATTTCAATGTATTTTTCTGCAAGGCTTGCAAGAGGAAAATGTAGTTGGCAAATCATTTGAATCTGATCTGATGATAAAAAGCATGATTACTAGACTACTATCAACCTTTATCTATGAGGTGCAGAAGTGAGAGGAACTTATTTGTTGTATTCTTGTGGTACCTCACCTCCTATCTATGATCAGGAAAGTTGATTGAGTTATAAACTATGTCATGTTAATGAGTAATCATGGTCTTGTATATTTGTGCACAAGTTCACCTGCTTTTTGTTTGAAATTATCAGTGCATTCATAATAAATAATAATAATCCTTGGTCCTGTGCAGAGACTGTTGGGGAAATATGGATCGCTTGTTTCAGTGGTTACTATTGTAGTTTTGTTCGTGTACCTTGTCGCAACTCCATCAAAATCGAGCAAGAAGAAGCGCTGATGGAGCGAGTGAGTGAGTGAGTTAGGTTTTATGTATGTTGTAAGGCCAAAGAGGAGAGGGTTGAACTGTTTTGCTGCTGCAAACAAGGCAAGGCATGTGCTGTGTTTATTTATTTTTGAGAGAGCATTAAATAGTTGGTGATTGTGGGGGGTGATGTGCCTCTTTTTTTTGTTTAACATCAGAGCTGGGATTTGTTACTTACTGCTGCACTCGCTCTCTTTTGTTTTGTTTGCTTGATTTGATTCTCTTCCATCCACCACAACTTGGTATTTTATCGACAATGGAATCGGAAGGAAGCTAACAGCAACCCTGCAGTGCAGTGCAGGCTGATTGTTTGTTAATTAAAATAGTACTAACTAGTAAAATGTGATGAGAGCCCCTTGAAATAAACTACACTACCAATACCATAGCCGTTAAGCTATACAATAATAGACGGCTACAACTGGAGAATACTGGCTACTATATCCATGTAGCATATAGTTATAATGGGAGAGTAGAGCTCTGATGGGTCTGGGCCTCAAATTTAGGCAGGCAACCCATTGGGTTTGATTGATGGCCCGCCCATATCCACTACAGCTGGCAGCAATAAGCACATATAATAATAGGTAAGTCAACCCAAGCCCAAATCGATGTCGTGGAGAGCAGAGCAGAGCAGATCCCATCATATCTGATCTGATCAACCAAACCAAGTGCTCGACTCTTCTCTACCTTCCTTCCTAGTTCCTCCGCCTCCGTCTCCGAACACACACCACAGACACAGAGCCGACTCACAAAGGCATGAGCTATCAAGATAATTACCCCCATCCTCCTCATCCACATCCAGGTCTGTTTCTTCTCAATTCTCTGTTGCTATGTAGGAGTATCTATTATTGATGTAAGGAAAGTCAATTGTCTTCTGTTGTTATTTTCATTTCCTTGTTGATCAGGATCTGTGTATCCTCCTCATCCTCATCCTCATCCTCCTACGCACGGGCCACCGTTTGAGGCTCCGTATCCTCCCCCAAGGCCAGGGTACTCATATCCTCCTCCCCAACATCCTGGACCACCTGCCGGTGGCTATCAAGGCTACTTCAATCAAGGTTATCCTCCACCCCCACCCCCGGCCCAGGTTTACCAGCATTACCATCACGATCATGATTCCGGCTGCTCTTCCTTCCTACGAGGCTGGTACGTGCTTATGTCTCTCTCCCTATTTGTCCTTCCTTTCTTGTATTGTAGTATTAGGAACAACACAACACAAGGCTGGAGAACAAACTTATTGAAATCGTGGTTGAATGTTTGAGCTTGGGTTGATTGCGTGCATATATTGGAGTTTTGACTGAACCAAGAGATGACCAGACCAAGCAATCAAACCCTGGATTGATGGGGTTCAATCTCATTCTAATGCTTTACTAATTAGTTTAGCAGCAATAGGCTGGGATTAGGTGCTGTGACTGTGAGTCTTAACTCCTCATAATTCTTGAGCCTGGAAGAAGTCTTGATTGGATTGGGATTGGATGATGCAACAGCAGCAGCAGCAGAGTAGTAGAACAAGAAGCAGCTTCTTGATAGGGAGCTGAGTTTGTTGTATTATCCATTGAGTGTCAGTCAGTCAGTCAGTAATTACTTTGTGTTTTGAATGTGCATTCCATGCATCTCTCGGCTTCTCTTCTTGTCTTGCATATTGAATCATCCAATGATGCTCCTCATAGCATAAAGATCAAATCATTAAAAGAGTTTTGGCTCGGGGTATTAGGTGCGTGTGTGAAAAGGAAACTGTGATGAGAAGCTCCTACCATAGACTGAGGGGCTACATATAGCAGACATAATCTTAAATGTTATGTTATTTTAATAATGGTTTAGGGTAAATGTGATGAGCAGTTTTGCGTTACGTGCTAGCCAGCCATTCATCAGTCTGCAGTTTGCTCCCACCCCTCCTCTCCCCCACCTTACAAATTTTGATAGATTAGCCATTATTAATAAGTAGTAGTGTATATATAATAATAATGTGATGAAGTTTCTTGATTGCAGTTTGGCTGCTCTCTGTTGCTGCTGTGTGTTAGAGGAATGTTGCTGCTGCTTCCCGTTCTAACCAATTGATGATGATGATGAATGGCAGCTCTGAGCATGCTCCCAGGATCAGTCTCAGTCTCGTCTTGTTATACTTAATGGAAACAATAATGAATGAGTCCACGCATGCTGTAGCTGTAGTGGAGTATCTTAATCTTTATCTTATGTGTAGTATCTTGTAATCTAATAATTGAATGATTGAAGGAAGGACTGCAATTTGAAAGGAGGGAGAGGTAGAGGGAGAGGGATGGATCTTTATTAATGTTGTTCATAAAGAATGAGTATCATTCATAGATGTATGTATGTATGTATGTATGCATGTAGGTGTGTGGACAGTGTGCAGTGGTTTGTGTGCGTGTGTGTGTGCTGAACTTAAATGAATAGCCGATTTCTACTTACACTGGTTGTTTGTTTGTTGTTGGATTGGGACTGTAGTGTAGAGGGCAAACATATAAGAGCACCTGTAGTGATCTGGTCCAAAAACTCCTTTGAAAAGTAAAAAATGCTGGTATTTTATTGATGTGTCAAAGCCTTTAATAAGTTGAGGCTACTGAAAATAAATGCATACATGCAATGGCTCTAATACAAAGGGTTCCTTCGTACATTTTCTTCACCCAATTTTTTCATTCTTCGACCGCACACATAATATCCAAAGCCCAGTTTTGTCCGCCTTACCACCATTGGCTCGATCATTTGCTAGTCATCAAAATAGAATTGGAAATTCCATCATCAGATCTTGCTTTCCTCTATCAGCGGACCGATTTGTCTTTATGAGAAGTGTTCTTGTTTCAAGTATTTTTTGGTAAGCCGATGGGTTATGAGAATCCTTGTTTAGTTTCTTATTTTGATGAAATTTTGTTAATTTTTAATATTCATGTGTTTAAATATTGAGGTGAAATGTTCAGGAATGATGAGTATTATTTTCCGTGTTGATTGTTATATTTTTTGCTCATTTATATTTGATGTTGGCAAATTTATGTAGAAAAAATTGGCTTCGATAAAAATTCCAGTTTTAAAAATGCATTTTTAGCTCTACTATTTTTTATCATATAACTTGAATATAGACAATTACAGCTCGGTCAATATATGATTTGCACATATTATTATGTTTACTTATTTGAAGAATCCACGCAGTGACGCCCTATTCGAAGGTGGGTTCATTGTTTTGTTCTGGATATAGAATGAAAAACAACATAACAAGTTTTAGATGTATTTGTGTGATATACCACCATTCTAGTATTCACTTTATTTTGTGGTATAGACAATTCTTTCTTTCTCGATAGAATGAGTATTACTGAAACGACGTGGTTGCACAAATATTCATTGGGATATGAATTATGATTTTCGCTTATCTATATGTGACATGCTTAAGCGCAAGAAGATGACTTAACTTAATGAATATGCATTAATATAAGATCTCATATATCAAAAGTCAATTTAGCAATCTCTCATTGTTATTTATTTTTTTAAACAAAATTCATTTAGAAGATTACTTATATATTCTCAATACGTAGATCTTACTATACAAATTGCCCTATTGAATATGACTCCAATATGTTGTAGAAAATAAGGGGTTCTTAAGCTTTCAAGAAGCGAAGACAATCTGGGTAGGTGGTATTATAAGCATGAATCATGTAAAAAATGGTTGTGTTGGGAGAATGATGTCGATGAGATTAAATATCATATGTCTGCGTCTGATATGAAAAAAGTTTTATTTTGTGGTATAGACAATTCTTTCTTTCTCGATGGAATGAGTATTACTGAAACGGCGTGGTTGCACAAATATTCATTGGGATATGAATTATGATTTTTGTTTATCTATATATGTCATGCTTAAGCGCAAGAAGATGACTTAACTTAATGAATATGCATTAATATAAGATCTCATATATCAAAAGTCAATTTAGCAATCTCTCATTGTAATTTATTTTTTTAAACAAAATTCATTTAGAAGATTACTTATATATTCTCAATATGTAGATCTTACTATACAAATTGCCCTATTGAATATGACTCCAATATGTTGTAGAAAATAAGGGGTTTTTAAGCTTTCAAGAAGCGAAGACAATCTGGGTAGGTGGTATTATAAGCGTGAATCATGTAAAAAATGGTTGTGTTGGGAGGATGATGTCGACGAGATTAAATATCATATGTCTTCGTCTGATATGAAAAAAGTTTTATTTTGTGGTATAGACAATTCTTTCTTTCTCGATGGAATGAGTATTACTGAAACGGCGTGGTTGCACAAATATTCATTGGGATATGAATTATGATTTTTGTTTATCTATATATGTCATGCTTAAGCGCAAGAAGATGACTTAACTTAATGAATATGCATTAATATAAGATCTCATATATCAAAAGTCAATTTAGCAATCTCTCATTGTAATTTATTTTTTTAAACAAAATTCATTTAGAAGATTACTTATATATTCTCAATATGTAGATCTTACTATACAAATTGCCCTATTGAATATGACTCCAATATGTTGTAGAAAATAAGGGGTTTTTAAGCTTTCAAGAAGCGAAGACAATCTGGGTAGGTGGTATTATAAGCGTGAATCATGTAAAAAATGGTTGTGTTGGGAGGATGATGTCGACGAGATTAAATATCATATGTCTTCGTCTGATATGAAAAAAGTTTTATTTTGTGGTATAGACAATTCTTTCTTTCTCGATGGAATGAGTATTACTGAAACGGCGTGGTTGCACAAATATTCATTGGGATATGAATTATGATTTTTGTTTATCTATATATGTCATGCTTAAGCGCAAGAAGATGACTTAACTTAATGAATATGCATTAATATAAGATCTCATATATCAAAAGTCAATTTAGCAATCTCTCATTGTAATTTATTTTTTTAAACAAAATTCATTTAGAAGATTACTTATATATTCTCAATATGTAGATCTTACTATACAAATTGCCCTATTGAATATGACTCCAATATGTTGTAGAAAATAAGGGGTTTTTAAGCTTTCAAGAAGCGAAGACAATCTGGGTAGGTGGTATTATAAGCGTGAATCATGTAAAAAATGGTTGTGTTGGGAGGATGATGTCGACGAGATTAAATATCATATGTCTTCGTCTGATATGAAAAAAGTTTTATTTTGTGGTATAGACAATTCTTTCTTTCTCGATGGAATGAGTATTACTGAAACGGCGTGGTTGCACAAATATTCATTGGGATATGAATTATGATTTTTGTTTATCTATATATGTCATGCTTAAGCGCAAGAAGATGACTTAATGAATATGCATTAATATAAGATCTCATATATCAAAAGTCAATTTAGCAATCTCTCATTGTTATTTATTTTTTTAAACAAAATTCATTTAGAAGATTACTTATATATTCTCAATATGTAGATCTTACTATACAAATTGCCCTATTGAATATGACTCCAATATGTTGTAGAAAATAAGGGGTTCTTAAGCTTTCAAAAAACGAAGACAATTTGGGTAGGTGGTATTTGAATCATGTAAAAAATGGTTGTGTTGGGAGGATGATGTCTACATGATTAAATATCATGTGTCTGCGTCTGAAATGAAAAAAGAAAGATCTTTCAATGGGGGTTTATCAAGTGCTACGTCTAAATATCCAAGTAGAAGCAATGAGGTGCGATGTTCATGTTCGTGTTCCACCGAAAAACGTGAAAAGAGCGAGAAAAAAAATACATAAGTTACTATTTGAGTGTCTTCAACTTTTTAATTTCAATATTAATTCTAGCATGCATGTTCACTTTATTTTGTAAGGTGTAGAGTTCTATGACATGTCAATTGAGATGTGTTTTGTCAACTAAAATTGCAATCATCGTTTGAACATAATATGTCTCGTAGGAAGGATTGATATTCATAAGAATATGATTGCTATTAATTTCGAGTCTATTTCATTTATATAGTAGGACGGATTGGTAGTAAGTTCGAGGGCCTTGGAATTATGTACTTTAATTGCATGGTGTGGTGCGTGATGTCACGCCTGGGATTATATATTGGCTGCGTTTTGGTATAATATTGGTGTTTAATGGAATACTGATGTGAATTATGATATTGATGTTTGCTTTCATTCATTCGATTTTGAATCTAGGTCTTCTAGTAAGAACATGATAACTATTTTATGAAATTTATTATGTTTCCGCCAATAACAAGAGTTTCTTCATAGTTCTATTGATTTTCTTGATTTTTTCATTGTCTTCACCACCTCATTTTTTATCCAGAAATGTGTTACTTGTTGAAAGTTTAACATCTGAAATTATGTTTGAGATTTCCTTTTGGAATGGATGTACATTATTTATAATATGATATGTGCAGTTTATTTTCTTTATGGTGGGAAGAAATAGGATTTTGGTGCTAGCATGCTTCAACCACCATTCCCCACTTAATGGACTCAGAAGTGAATCCATTGAATCTAAAATTAGCAAATCAAGCGCCGGGTGATTCTAAAAACCATGTAGGATGAGATGCAATTGAAAAGATGAAAAAGGAAAGGACCTTGCTTGCTTGCTTGCTTGCTTTCTCGCAGGCATGGATTTTCATTAATTGATTGCTTCACACGAGGCTTTCTTCTATGTGATTTATGACAAGTTTTTTTTAGTGTGTGCTACCTGCGGATTTATCTTTCTCATATCATAAAATAATGTTCACATATAAAGACAGATTATATACAATGAGAGAAGGTTTGTTAGAAGAATCTAATCATGTTAATCAACATACTAGTATCAATTAAATAAAAGGCATTTATTGCTAGATCTGTTGTAACAAATTTTTATTGAGTGGATTGAAATATGAATACACAAAAATTGTCCATGAAACTCACCAAGAAAGGATAAAAACACTTAGTATACCAGAATTGAAGAAACTATAATGATTTATGGATTGATTTTATATTTTAAGATCATGCAAACCAACCAAAACCAAATTTGAAAATACATTCGAACCCTCAAATGACATAGAATATTAAGTATAAACATTTCCTCTCAAAACTTCGTTATATGAATATTTGAAACAATAAGCACAACAGCCCCAACAAATCAATACCATTGCAGCAATTTATTTACAAAGTAGGGAACCCGTGAATGTGTTGTAGTGATTTGGAGAAAAGACACTTCGATGGATTCCTTATTCACATCATGGCACTAGGACCTCGCTACCACCTATGCATAGTACACTTTGTAGGAAATGTAATGAATGGTGTGCGCACATGTGACATAATAATTTCAATAACTCGTGAATGCTACAAGACTTTTCACATCGTAGCCACGTGTGAGGGAAGACTACAACTCAACTCTACACTATGTCTTAATCTTATAGTGATACTGGAGTTGCTTAAATATCCATAAGAATTGGAAAAGATCTTCGTACTGGGGAACAAAGACAAGCAAGCCAGGTAATTGAGAATCATTTTCATATAAAGATCCAATGTTTTATAATGCACCACTATTTTTTTACAAATATTATTATTATATTGAATTTATTCTTACCGATAGAGATGGACAGTGACAATGAGGAAGAGTGAGGATCGGATGCAGTTGCCAATTTTTTTGCAAATGAATGTATAACCATTGAATGGTTGCGATCGTCCCTACCCTAAGTGGCCAACTTCGAAGAGAGGAACGCTCTGCTGCGAATGAACTGCATCTACCGCGATAGGCAGCGAAAACATCAAGATTTATGGGAAGATTACCTATTGGACACCCCTCGATTTCCCGAATCCTTTTTCAGGAGTAGATTTCGGATGCACTAGGAGAATTCACTAGAATCTTCCACGATGTATACAACAAGAATACGTATTTCACATAACGTCCAGATTGTACGGGTATACAAATTACAATATTTACGTGATCCCAATTCTGACGACATTGCACGTTTATTGGTAGAAACAACGAACGTGATTTTCCAGGGATGATAGGATCATTGGACTGTATGCACTGGCATTGGGATGCCTGTCCAGTTGGGTGTACAAGTCAATACAATGGTCGCTATGGATACCTAACAATGATACTCGAGGCAACAACATCTAAAGATCTGTGGATATGACATGCCTTCTTTGGAATGCTTGGAACTAACAACAATGTGACGGTTTTAGATCATTCGCCTTTGTTCGATAGATTCATGAATAGGATGGCACCACCAGTTGATTTTCCAGTTGATTTTCAAGTTAATGGAAACCGTTACAACTTGCCTTATTGTTTAACATATGGTATATACCCAAAATTTCCAGTGTTTATGCAAGTGGTAAAGACTCATATCACTGCAAAGGAAAAAACTTTTACGGTATTGCAGGAGGCTTGTCGCAAGGATATCGAGAGAGCATTCGGTGTTCTAGAACAAAAAATGGCGCATATTGCACTTACCAGCACAATTACAGCAAACATCGGATCTTCTGCTTGTGGTCATTGCGTGTATTATCTTACACAATACGATAGTTGAAGATAAACGTGGACAAATTTACCCGTATGGGTGCCTCATGTTAAAGAAGACCAAACTTCGCCTCCTATATCATACAAGAATAGGTCGAATTTGTAATACATAAACTAATGATAGATTGCACGAAGATCTGATCGACCATGTGTGGATGGTTGCTGGAGGTGATCATGTGTAGTAGCCACGTTTTTTATTATATGGTAGCATTTTTGTTTCAATAAATATCAAGTACTTCTGTTCTAATAAATATCAAGCAACACCTTTTTAGAGTTAATTTATTCTAACTACAGAATATTCATCATGCTGCATTCAAAAAAATAATTTTTCCTCCAATATTTTTTTATAATCACGCAAATGAATTTAAAACTTATAGTTATGCAACATTGTTTGTGACAATTGTGAATATGGTAAAATTTAGTCTCAATAACATCAGTTACGATAAGATTTCGTATGAACAACTGTTAACGAATCGAGTCGAGCTAAATTTTAAGTGTTCGTTAACATTCGCGAACAAGGCTCGTGTTCGTTCGTGAAGCTTTCAAGCTCGTTCGTAGTGTTTGAGCTCAGCTTGATAAGAATTTTTGTTTTTTGAGCTCGTGTTCGTGTTCGGCTCGATTATGCTCGTTCGAGCTCGTTTGTCTCATTTTTTTAAATTTATATATAAATTTAAAAGAAAATTAAAAATTATTATATTTATATATTTTAAATTAATATTTTATTTATTTATAAATTATAATTTTATATGTATATATAATATTTATAATAGATATATTATTTAAACGAAAATTCGCGAACAAAACTTGGGCACGTTCGTTAACCAAACGAGTTTATTTATGTTGTTCAGCCCGGCTCGTTAACGTTCGCAGACGAGCTTTAACCGAGCCAAACCGAGCCGAGTTCACGAACGACTCGGTTCTTAACAGTTCTATGAACAAGTATTACAAATTCAATTTTCTTAATTAATTAAACTTAATATTTAAAATAAATTAAAAATAAAAATAAAATACAATACAATAATTGTGTTCACTCTTTCAGCAAGGAGGGATTTTTATTTTTTTTATTTTTTAAAGGTATATGGAAAATGCTTAGAAAAATTAGGGCATAAGTTGTCTTCTTCTCACTCTTGAGCGGACTTCTTCGTCCTTGTGCCGCCCCGCGACCAACATCACTGAAATTCTTGGATCGGCGACAAGCTTCTTCGGCGTCGGCATTCTGGTAAGTTTTTTGAGTTTTTTCTAACCTGATTCAATGTGGATCTTTGGTCTCTCGAACTCCGTGCAATCTCAGCGGATTTCTGTATGAAAGAGATTCTTCAATTGAACCACTAGGCTTCGGTGATTTTGTAGTTTTTGTTCAAACAAATCTAATTTTGCACTTGTTTGTTGCTAGGAAATCGGTTCTAGATGAGATTGCTTGCGGGTTGATTTCATTGAAGCTAAGGGCCACTTGTGTAAGTGGGTTTTTTTTTTTTTTTTCGACTTCTTAATCAAGTGTGGTGTTGGTTATTTCTTGTAGCAGTTCAGGAGATGATCTTTTTTGCGTGTTTCCTGCTTCATTTCACTTCTCTGAATTTTTGTGAAACTTGAATAACATCCTATGCTTTTGTCAATGACATGTTGGCCTATGTGTTTGATAAGAAAATATTTGCAATAGTTCTCTTTACATAGGTTATTGCATTTGGTTAAGCTAGAATCTTACATATTGAAATACCTAACAAGTGCCTAGTTGATAAGTTAGCATTGGAATCCAGCGATCGCTGCTCGTCCGGGCTGGAATGATTACTGGATTTGTGGATGTTCATGAAGGGATTAACATTGCAAGTATACTCCAATATTCCAGCATTCTTGTGTGTTGATTTCCTTTATAGTTCCATCTTATTTCATATCGTTGAATCTCTATTAGCTTGAATTTTATGCATAAAAAAGTTTCGTGGTTTTGTTTGCTTGCTATGTTGACTGATAAAGTTGAATGTGCTTGCTTGATCTCCTACTCTCAGCTTATGTTGTGCAAGAATGAGATGTATTTAAATACTTTCGACTTGATCAAAAGTTTGGTAAATTTAATTATATTATCTCATACCAGAGAGAAGAAAGTTATTGTTTGCAAGTGCGAATGTTTTAATCGTCATATAACAAGATGAGACTGTAGCAATAACGTTGAAATGTATTCTCAAACTTACTTGTGTCTACTTTTCTCAGTTCAATTTCTTTCATCTTTAATTCCACCATTTTATTTTAATAATTATGCATTTGACAACCGAAAATCATTCTAGATGCATCAATGTACTAGACTCTAAATATCTTTCAGTATCTTTCTTGTTTATGATCTCAGGACCTAAATTTTACAATTATGTTGAAGGACTCTACATTACTTAATTTTGTCCATGCAATATGATTAAAAAAAAAGGAAAGAAAAAATAAAGAGAAAACTATTTTTAAATTGTTAAATTGGTCATTGAATGAACTTTTAACCACTGTTAGGAGTATATTAAGGGTTTGAATTCTTGCATGGATGCTTTTATTATTTGATTCAATATTCCCATTCCATTTAAGCAAATTAATCCTTTGTTTGTTCAGGCTATTCGAGAGACAACATTACATGCCTTGTTGCTAAAATTTAGTTAATCATCTTACAGGCAAAGTTACCAACATCAAGTTTTTGCAATTTTTACAAAATTCTGAATATAATTTTCAATTCATTGATTTTTTTTTTAAAACTTAATTTTATGCCTTAAAAATTGTTTCCTAATAAAAACAAAAGTGCTTGCTTAGATCAATGTCTTTATTGAGAAGGTTTAGCTACTTAGATCACCTTCACTAGTCTAATATAATTGAAAAAATTAAGGGAAATGATGTTGCTTTGAATGTGTATTAGAAAATGAAATGTTGGAATAGAAAACACATGTTACTTTGTTTGTATGCATAGAATTTGATAAAAATTTCTAAAATTTAAATGATGATGCTCATGGTGAGTGTAATTGTTTGAAAAATATCAAGATGCTAATTTAGTCCAATGATAGAATAGATAAACTTATTTTAATGGTAAGTGTGAGAATATATTCATTGATAATCAATGTGTTATGTATTGGGAAAGTATATATGCCTTGCTAGTTGACTGCATTTACAAGATATTAAGGAATGATGTTATTATTATTGAGATGATTGAAGCTTAAGTGAGATATATATGATGTTGATTGGAATTAAAATAACGTGATGTAGCAAATATTTATATCTCATCATGAGCTACAGTTGTTTGCTATCCTTGGATATGATCTCAAATTTCTGCATGTTCTTCATGCTATTAATGTATTGTTTCATCTAAAATTAAATTTTATTTTTTGCCAAAGCTATAGCACTGTGAAGAATGAAAAATCTGATGGAATGCATCTTTACGTATTTGGATTTGGTCTATGCTCCTTATAAGCTATTTGGGCCTCATTACTTGTTTCTAGAGGTCTTTAACCAATCGATATAAGGGTAGGTCCCTATTTTTTATTTAGTTTTATCATCCAAAGTTCTTCCTTCTCTTCAAGTTGGCTATATGAATGTCTTATGCTTTTTGAGTTTTATTTCAACTGTCAATTTTCATGTAATCAAAATTTTGATGGTGAATTACAATACATGTGATTTAATAACAAAAAAAATAATTGATGAGGACAAATGGAAAAATAAAAAATAACAAAAGATGATTGATGACAACCAAGACATGAAAATCTTACGCGTTAACCAAATGTAAAACAATTTTTTTATTTTTTTTATTTTTTTTTATTTTTCAGATTCTGGTTATAGCGGAATACTAGAAGTTGTGGCTGATCCCCAAGGTGCACTTTCAAGAGAATTTCGGAACTTAGGTGTTTGTGTGGTGCAATAGTGTGCCAAAATTCGCATAATAGGTATGTTAATATTCTCGTCTAACGGTATGGTAATCAAATTCTCTTATGGAAAATGCTTGATACTCCGGGGTGATTCATTAATGTTGGTTGAAAGCTTCTTATTCTTGTATTGTATAGTGTCAAGGACAGTCACTTATGATAAATGTTGAAAGACACCAAATCAAAGGTTTGTGCTACAGTTTCAGTCCCTCCATCATCATATAATACTAAAAGTGATATATATAGTTCTGATTCCCATCCTAAAATAGAGAATGCATATTGTGAACTAGTACATGTTTAACTTATGTAGTAGTTTGCGCTATTTTTACTGAAAATTAGTGCATGTTTAACTTAAGTTTTTTTTTATAGGAAGTAAAGTGTTGAGACAAAGGTGTGCTGTGTGAATTCAGAATAACCATATTTGAGTTTTGCGGAAGGTCTGCTTGCTTTTTAATGCATTTCCATTGTGCAGAAACTTTTATGTGGTCTATGTTTATCGATGGGTGGTGCAGTGAAGTGTTGAGTACATTCCCACAAATCTGAATATTTCTTTAACATCATATTTGAAGATTTTTTGGCGATGAAATTTATTTTTGTGGAGCTTTGGTATCATTGAGTTTCGATATCCAATTAGAAGAATGCTAGGTAGTGTCATAATTACAACGGAGAAACATATGCTGGCCACTTCTAATATTTGTGTGGATATAATGCAAAAACTGCATGTATTGACATACACAACAGATGTAAGATGTGATTAATTAATTACCTTATTAATTCATTAGATTAAATTTTCATAATAGCATTATATATCCTTCCTCTCAACCAAAAATATCGTTGTTTTTCTTTTTATTTATTTTTCTAATGGTGATTCGTTGTTATAAATTTAGAATAGTTAGAAATTTTCCTTAACACAAGTAGGGTATGGATAATTCTTGCCGATCTAGTGACTAGATCGGAATTTCTAGCGGAGCGTAGGAATTATACAATACTTACTAAATTGCACGCATAAAAGGTTTTGAAGTGGAGAGGATGGCTGATTTTAAACCATGAGCCTTAATGTTGTGACGAAGGTTATGTTCTACTTATACATGCACAACATGGACATGTAGAGACATAAATACGGTTTTTTCAACCCGATGCTATAAATTTATTCTTGAGTAAACTGTTTTTTTAGTCCCATAACTGGACCCCCTAATCATTTTAGTTCCGTAAGTGGAGCCTGTCGCAAACTAGTTCCATAAGTAAAAAATTTTCGTTGTTTTAGTCATCCGGCGCCGGAGACGCCCGCGTGGCTCGTTGGAGGCCACGTGTCCACCAGGTCAGTGACACCTGGCGGACACGTGGATTTTATTTATTTTATTTTTCATTTTTTATTTTTTTTTAAATTTATTTTTAATTTAATTTGCTTTTTAAATTTTTTATTTGGTCAATTGAAAAAAATTAAAAAAATTAAAAAATAAATTAAAAATAAAATAAAATACACGTGTCCGCCAGGTGTCGCCGACCTGGCGGGACACCTGGCGGACACGTGGATTCCGGCGAGCCACGCGGGCGTCTCCGATGTCGGAGGACTAAAATAACAAAAAATTTTCACTTATGGGACTAATTTGCGACAGGCTCCCCTTACGGGACTAAAATGATAAGGGGGTCCAGTTACGGTACTAAAAAAATAGTTTACCCTTTATTCTTTTAAATTTAGGGTGTACGCCGGTATCAGAACTTAAACATTAGGTTTTTGGATGCATTTTATGTTGATGGAATCACATGTATATTGTCTTGTTAGATGGATAAGAGTTGGATAGACGATGCAAACCATATATTCGCTCAATATTTGGATGGGGTCAGGTCTTTCTTAGATATTGCATTCAAAGATAGGAACTTTAATGCTTCCTTCTATTGTCCTTCTACGTCTTGTGGAAATCGCATAACAAAATTTAGTAGGGATATCTTGTTCCATTGTATTCGGTATGTAGGGTGTACGCCTTGGGTTGGCCACTGACGATTTTAACCCTTTTGGGAAATATGAGTGTCAGTTACAACATTTGGCCTATAGTACTTGTAATATATAATCTACCTCCGTGGCTATGCATGAAGCAACCATCGTTCATCCTCTCTACAATTATAGGCCGTCCGCATGGCCCGGGGGATCGGATTGATGTCTTCCTTCAATCTTTTATGGATGAGTTGAAGGAGCTTTGGTATGACGGTGTTCGTACATACGATGCAAGGAGTAAGGAGTACTTCCAAATGGGAGCTGCATTACTGTGGACTATCAGTGATTTCTAGGTTATGGTATGTTGTTAGGGTGGCCAACTCATGGAGCAAATGCATGCCCATGTTTGTGGTTTTTAAACTCACTCCAGGTATCTTAAAAATGGCCACAAGTATAGCTAATGTGGGCATCGACGGTTCCTTCCGAGTGGGCATAGAATGCTCTTTGATAAACATACATTCGATAGTACAATGGACTTTAAGACACAACCATCTCGCTTGACTTCTAATGAACTGCTCCAACAGCTTTAGGATGTGCCAACTAAGTATCGTAAGGTTGAAATGATTCAGAATGTCGTTGCGCAGAGATCCCGGAAATGTTGTCGGGAGGTAGATGGGCACCAATAGACGTGGAAAAAAGGAGCATATTGTTCGAGCTTCGTTGTTGGGCTGAGAATGATGTACGACACAACCTCGACTTGATGCACATTGAAAAGAATGTATGTGAGAATGTATTGTATACATTGTTTGGGATTAAAGGAAAAACAAAGGAAAATCTCAACACGAGGAAAGACTTGCAGTTACTGCAAATATGCAATTCTTTGCACCCGGTCTCCAACCCAAGGGGTTCTACATACTTGCCCGCTGCTATGTACACTATGAGTGACCCTGAAAAATAAATCCCTATTTGTGTTGAAGGATCTACTACCACGTCATGGATTAAGTTCAAACTTATCTCGTCGTGTTAGGGTACAACAAAAACTAATATGGGGTCTAAAAGCCACGACTACCACATTCTTATGCAACGACTTCTGCCTATTGGTGCCTAACGGTATACCTTTGTAACGCAATCATATTACTTAAATCCAAGTCACGTTTCCTCTGAACATAATTAAAGGTGCTATTTCACCACTTCATTCAGGTTTCTTCCAAAAAATGTTGTGTTGGTGTTGATTGAACTTTGTAACTTCTTCAATTCAATGTGCTCAACTCGCAACACAATATGTGACCTGGAGCGAATACAGGACAAAATTTCGTTGATGCTATGCCACATTGAGAAGCTCTTCCCACCTTCATTATTCGATGTAATAGAGCATATGCCAATTCACTTGGCTGATGAGAAAATGGTGCCTGGCCCGGTGCAGTACTGGTGGATTTATCCCATTAAGAGGTACCTTGGTACTCTAAAGAGGTACGTACGGAACCGGGCACAACCTGAGGGTTCTATTGCGCATGGATACCTTATGAAATAGTGTGTGACCTTCTGCTCAAGATATCTCGGGGACATAGAGACCAAAGAGAACTGGGGTGCTGAAGGCGGTGAGGAAGGGACACACGAGAAAGGATTATTTGGTTCTAGGTTTAACCTTGATTACAATACGAAGCGCCAGATTCATGGTTACATCTTAGGAAATGTAGATGTAAAATATGAAGGTTATTTCACTTCCATTTAACAATACTTGTATGCATTTATGTGGATGTTGAATATTTTCCATTTTCTTTTTTGCGCTGTAGGATTTACGTTAGTATTAGGTCCAGCTGAACTCGCACACCTCCACGTGAGGTGCACTGGCAACACAACGAACAATTTGCATCATGGTTTCAATCATATGTGAGTACCCTTTAGTAACTGTACACGGTATCTTGACGATGACCCAAAAAAAACATCAAAACCATTAGTGTTTATGAACTACTTTACATCAAATATAGGTACATGACCCAACGCATAATGATTTGTGCCCAATCTCGGATTGGATACATGCTTTGGCCCGTGGACCATCATGTAGTGCAACACGATACTCCTCGCGCATTGTGTTAGGAATACGCTATCGCATTAAAGATCGGGATGTGGGAAAGATGACACAATGTGCAGATGTTATGGTTACGACATATGCATTGAGTTATGCCTCAACTAGGGACCATAACCCACGGGAAGGTTCCGTGGCATATTATGGGATTCTTACTGATATTGTGGAGGTGTATTATAGCAATCAACATAAATATCTCCTCTAAAATGTGACTGTGTGGATCTGGAGAGGATGTTAAAGAAGACGAGTTCAAGTACAAGCTTGTGAACTTCAAGCATCTGATGTACCCGAAGAACTTGCCCACGGATGAGCCGTTTGTCATAGAAACCCAAGCCAATCAAGTTTGATACATTGTAGACCCGGTTCAAAAGGATTGGAGTGTTGTTGTTCCAGTGATTCAGCGAGACACATATGACGTTAATAGTACAATCTATCATAGATTCAGTACCAAGTTCACTTTATATGATGGAGGCAATGTCAGAGGAGTGGCGGACTATTGGCTAAGGGAAGATGCTGAGGGCCAGGTAGTAGACGGAATAACACAGATGTACCATGCGGAGACTTCAGCTCGGAATTCGGAGGAGTCCTCCAAAGATGAATATGTTTAGTGGTGAAGGAAGAAAATGGGCGTTTTTATAGTATATTAATAATAAATGAACGCTCTCATTTTGACGGTGTGACAACCACACTCCATTTTTTAGTTCCAGCTTCAGAATAGATTACACATCTCAACATATGGTCATTTTTTCTTAAGGGTGTATGATTGAAGTACGTATTAGGTAACAAATTTTTGTCAATCATGTCATTTCATCAGCTTTATTTTTTTATTTCCGTATATTATTGCAATTTATATGCATTAGTGGCGCTAGTATGCTACGACTTTTTTCCGAATATGTTGTTTCACACAACTCCTTAATGCTTATATGTTGCAGGTTATGGAAAACTCTCAACAAGGTGCTATTGGAGGGCGCCAGGATCCGACTGGCTCTCCCGTAATACGTATTACCCAGGTGTCCGCATTCAATAGTCCCGTAGATGAAACTAATCCATCTAACGGGAACCCATCACCTATCCAAAAAACCGTGAAGAAAATGACGAGATGGAAGGGATCTCGGGTCTCACCATTGCTCTGGCAAGTTCGCTCCATCACATCAGATTGGGAGAAAGAGGGCGATGCTTGTGCTCAAACCAAATCAAGGATATCTTCCGTTCGACGGGCAGTGCTTCAGGATTCGTAGGGGCCTGGAGAGGTAATGTAGCTTCTTTGTGTAAATTGATTCTTATTTGTACTTGGCGAATGTCCTTTAATGTGCTAACACTATTAAACCCAAACAGGAACATAATGCTATGGATATCCCACCAGCCCTTGAACCAAATGCACTGACGCAGGATTAGGATGATACAATCCCCCTTACACAAGTAGAGGACGAAACAATCTCACCGACACAAGACATAGAGACTGCAGAGAGTGATATGCCGTACTTGGGTGGGAAATCAGGGCCCGATGATACGCTGATTGCAGACACGGAGGCAAGTGATATGGCACGCTTGGACAGGATAGCATCAGATGGCGGTTTGGAAATCATACTTCATAGAACTTGTATTGCATTATGTAATTACAAAGATTTGACATACGCTCCTTATAATATGTAATCTCTTATTTGTATTAGCTGGTTCCTCAAAGAAAAAATAGGGAAATGGGGCGGCAAGAATGCCACATAGAAGAGAAAAAGATCACAAGATGCTTGTACTCCCATCACCCGATGGTAAAAGCATTATTGGACCTGATGTAAATGAGTACAACACTGCTATTGGAGTCATTGCACGCAATGGAGCTCGACTTTCTCTGCATTACCCAACATTTTCTAAAATACCGGAGACGAAGAGACAGGGTGCATGGATGGAGGTTCAGGTGATGCAACATCCACTAATAAGAAGTTCCTTTAATTTTATTAAATTTTTATTACTGTCCTACTATCTTGGTTGGACTGGGTGATAACCATGCCAAATGTCTTACCTGAGTAACAACGGATTACCAAACTCAGTAGAGAAAGTGGTCTTGGCTGACTTAAGGGACGTTTGGAGGCATTGAAAATACAACATCAAATCAACTTACTTCAACCCTATTGAGGATAACGGAGAAGCTTTGAAAAATGTTTCCTCAAGTAGGATCGTGGCCGATCAGTGGCCGAAGTTAGTCGAGTACTAGCAGAACGAAAAGTTTAAGGTATGCAATAGGACCAACAATCATTTGATAATTTTATTTTCACAGACCTAGGATGAGAACTAAATAATTCATCCTTACGTAGCTTCAATCTAAGAAAAATGCGTCTAATGTTGTAATACCCACGGAGCTGGGCCGGTGCTAGGCCACCTCCCATGGATGAGCTGATGCCAAGCCGTCCGAGGTTGAATAGTAATTAAATGCATTAAATAGACTACTTATGTCAACAATGTGCACATTTCTTTTTGAGAGCCCTACTGAAAGAACTCTAGAGTTAAGTGCACATTTCTTTTTGAGAGCCCTACTGAAAGAACTCTAGAGTTAAGTGTGCTTGCCCTAGAGTAATTTGAGGATAGGTAACCCCCTGAGAAGTCTCCTAGGGTGCGTGTGAGTGAGGACAGAAGCGCGCTGGAAGGACTCGTGTTGACTTGTGGAGCCAGTATGCAATCCTGACATGCTCGGCTTTGCATGGCTTGCAAGTTGGGTGTCACAGTTGGTATCAGAGCTGACCTGCGACAGTCCACACTCGTTGACCGAACTGATGACGGACCGAACAGTTGATGATCCTTGGGGTGCAACGGGGTTGTTGGATTCTTAAGTAGGGGAGGATATAATACTGCCGTAGTTGGGTCGGTGCTAGGCAAGCTCCCATGGATGAGCCGGTGCTAGGCCATCCGAGGTTCAAACGTAATTAAATGGATTGAATAGACTACTTGTGTCAACAATGTGCATATTTTTTTTGGGAGCCCTACTGAAAGAACTTTAGAATTAAGCGTATTTGCCCTAGAGTAATTTTAGGATGGGTGACCCCCTGGGAAATCTCTCAGGTTACGTGTGTTTGAGGACAGAAGCACGTCACAAATGTACAAAAAAGAAGCTTTCCACATCGTATTGAGAGAAAGTCCTTCACAAATCTCGCGGATGAGGTACCTTTTATTACAATTAAATAATCAATGCAATTTTTTTGTTTTCATATTATGCTCAATCCTTACATTTTCCTTTGGTATCGTTAATGGGTTTTGCAATGACGCAACGCCTTATGTTGATGCAGATCAAGGCGAAGGGGAAGGACCCCGACAATTTAGAGATTTGGATATCCAGTCGGACCCAAGGCAAGGGGGCAGACAACCAACAAACCAATGAGATATTGGTATAATAAAATTATTCCCTATGTTGATACAATTTAGATACTAAGTACATCTATAACAATACGTGCAAGGTTGGCCTCACTTTATTCTTGCGTTGTAGACATATTTACAGAATGAACTAAACAAGATTCCCCCTTAACGGTGGACTCCGGTTGTTCAGGAGACTCTATACCAACGGGCGCTTGGGGGAAAGGGCATGAAGCACTCGAAGGTTGACAGTGCCACGAGTTTAGCTCATCCCCGCAATGAAGCAACTGGTTTAACAGATAGTGTAGCATTCCAGCAAAGGTGGGAAGAAATGCAGAATGGACTTGCAGAGTTGAAGGCAACGATGGTTGAGTTCAAAAATATCAAGGCTAATATGTATACATTCATGCATGAAAACTCCGAAGTAGTTACTGGCCCGTTTGTAAGTATTCGTAATATTCGTACTTTTTGTAATTATATCCTGCGGGCTTTGGATGGATGAGGAATTCACTATGATTTGCTTATTCGTGATGCCACATCTCGTATTGATATGGTCTCTGAGCTTCTCAGGCCTGTGCCCGAATCCCCTATGACGGTATGATGTCGTGAAACCCTAAAGTTAACTAGTAATCAGTGCAATGTCAACTTTAGGTTAATCTTGATGGCCAACTATGTTTCCAACTAATCTGCAATGTCTGTTGTAGGTTGGCACCCGTGTCCTTTTATTATCTCCTACCGGAGAGAAGAAAGTTATTGCTGAGGGACTTTTGCTCTGCTTCCATACGCTAGGTTCGTGGCATTGTGCCTTCAATTTTTCTTTTAAATCCTTTAATATGATGTGACTACCGCATTGTCGATGTTGTAACCGTTCGGGTCTTATAGTGCAAATGATCATAGTTTTATTGAGTCTAGTCAGATTTCAGTTTTACATATGCGGCAGTTAGAATATTATGTATGTGTAGGTTTTTAATATAGGGGTGCATGGCTATGTTGGTATTATGTCGATGATCTTATATTTTTATCATTCACATGACATTGTTTATGGCTATGTTGCTATTATATTATTTAGGTGCACATTGCAGTCCCAAAATTTATGAATGTTGGCTTTATTATAATTGAATATCTATGTAGCTCCCCAGCTGCCTACAACAGCTCTTTATGTGATGAGGATCACTAACATTTAATTTGATTTATTAAAGATCGGTGCTCTGAACTTGAACTCCTATGCGGGTGTTTGCTCATGTTTACTGCATAAATGGTAATTAATCTCCATGGGACATGATAAAACGGCAGATACATAGAGCAGTCTCAGTTGGGGGTAACCATATGGATTTATTACTTATTGAAATTATTATTTTAATATTGTACATGATTTGCTCCTTCACTTAGGTTTTATTGGTGGATGGTTGATTTATAGTTCGAGCTGCAATCACATAGGAAATTAGAATCTAGTGTGGTCTGGTGCCTAATTCATGGGTCGAATACTATGTGTAGTATATGACTGAATGTACATACCCGTGTAGTACAAGTTGGGAAGTTTACACTACAAATGTGTTATGGCATGTTATTCATAGAGTTTGAACGTGTGTTGATATATACGGTGAATTACATACTCAAAAATTGCACTTATGAATATTGTAGATGACACACTTTCTCTTGTCAAGGTCTTTGTTACATCCATCTCAGTTCCGGACACACCTCTTGTTTTGCCGACCATTGTTGGGGTGACAACCATTCGCGATATTATCGGTGAAGATCCTGTTGAGTGGAACTACACGGACGTACGGATCTACTTTCATACCTTTCATGTATTGACTTCCAAAACTTAAAAGAAATATGACTTATACTAAATCTCCTTATGGTTGCAATTGCAACTCATGCACCGCCCCTGAAGAATTTTCAAGCGATTCCTTAATGTTTTGCCCCACTTGCCATATGGATTGCATGCTGTAGATGTGTTTGGAGGGTAGGTTGTTATTGCTATGTGAACTACCTATGGATTAGAGGCATAGACATTTGGAGTTATTTTTTGTGTGGTGAGAATTGTGTTTATGGTTGATGGATATCTCTACTTGCTTATTACTAGGTTGGATGTTTGAAATGCTTGTGTTTTGCGCATAATATCATAGCGCAGATGTTGCTATGCTTGTTTGATGGGTTACTTTCTTTTGTTTTTAGGTGATGGATATCACTTGATAAATATTGTTATGTTAATATCCTATGTTGGGATTCAGATTTTACGTTGTCTGTTGTTTGTAATTATAACCAATCGAGATATTTATAATATGCTTGTATACAAAATTTCTTTTGGTATAAGGGAGATCACAACAGATCAATTTGTTACACAAAACATCCATAGCATCACAACTACATTGTTATAAATGACGCTACTTTTCCGTAACAAAATGATGAAATGAAGTAACAAAATTTGGTTTTGGATATTTGTTGTTATGACCGATTGTGTGACCATAATAAAGGATATTTTTATTACGGGTACAATGACGTAACGAAAGGATGAAATAATGTAACAAAAAGTGATTTATAGATATTTGTTGTTACGGCCGGTTTCGTAACCATAAAAAAATATCTTTTTATTACGGGTTCAATGGCGTAACTAAAAATCGTAACAAAAACCGTACTCTGACCAGCAGTCACTTTAAAGTTTTTTTAACGCAAAAAATTTTTGTAACAAATATCATGATTAAAAACTCTGTTACACGCGCGGAAAGCTCGAGAGAAAATTCGTAAAAAAATCGTCGTAAGAAACTGCCATAGGGAGCATTGACCGAAGTTATAGTTACGAAAAATTGTGTGACAAAAAAATTCGTTTTGCGAGTATACATTACGGATAAAAGTCGTTACTAAGGCGTAGCAAGTACGCATATTGCACGAAAAAAAGGTTTTGTGTTACGAGTTTTCGGCCGTAGTACAAAACTGTTATTTAGTAGTGTTATAGACAACATTTCATTTTCTTTACAGCAAGACAATTGTTGCTATTTTAGAACCAATAACTATTTATGAGATACTAAAGATAAAAGCATATGCAGATAATTTAAAACATAGGCAGTAGAAGGAACAAATGTCAAATATACAACAAACAAGAATAAAAATCAACAAAATTACCTACAACGTGCAAGATAATAAATTATATCATTTTAAAGTATAACTAAGTAAGAAAGCATCAGATTATGTAAAAAAATTGACGACCAGACTTAAGAAATTGAAATAATGCAAACTAATGCAAACTAATTACAGAATGGCTACAAGGAGCTAAGTAAAATGAATAAATAAATTAACGAAACAAATAATAGTAATAAAAAAAATGAGCATACCAATTCAACACAATCAACTCAAAATTAAAATAAACCAGCAACCTAAACAACCAAAAATAACTAATTGAACTATCTAAGTAGCAATGATTTATTATTCTACAATCGAACAAGTTAGTAATCAATAAACCGAAAAATCTCATCTACCAACTCATATTTGATCAACATAGAGAGCTAATTCTGATTTTTTTTTAAAAAAACATGCAAAACAAAAGTCAAAAGGTTGTTAATTATCTTCCATAAACAAGAAAGTAGAAAATTAAATAGGTAAGGCAAAAAAATCAATACCCTAGATCTTTATCAATCATGAGACATTCTGGTTTAATATCGAAATTGCTCACATTTTGGTTTAATAAAAGAAGATGATATATAACTGTTGATGTATTTTTTTCGACAAACAAAAAGTAAAATTCAAAGATATGGAAATATCCTTAAATTTGATTAATTAGCGTATGAGATTAGAAATCTCTAAACACTATACGGTACATAAGATAATTAACTGGAAAATAAAATGCTAGAAATTTAAAGTGGTGATCCCCGAATCTGACTTTGCTTTTTTGAAGTTGATTGAAGATAATCTCTCCAGAAAAATCCAAATCCTTAAATATCCCTTGAGAAACAGTACTGAAAACCGTTGCCCGAACGGTTACAACGTCTCTTTTTGCAACCGTCTGCTAACCCTTCTCCTGTTGACACGTGCCCTCAACCAACCCAAGTATCATTCTCACTTACTCTCAACAGTATTCGCCTCTTTGCACCGACCACAGACCTTCCGCCCTTTTTGGCCCGAACGCAACTCTTTCACCTTATTAGTCAGACTACCAACCTCCCGACTTGCAGACCACCCGACTTGTTTGCTCCAGCCGCAGACCTCCCAACCTACCAACCATCAAACTTATTGGTCCAGCCACAAACCGCCCGACTTAAAGACCATCCAACTTATTGGTCCAGCCGCAAACCTCCCGACTTAAAGACCATCCGACTTATTGGTCCAGCCGCAAACCTCCCGACTCAAAGACCATCCGACTTATTGGTCCAGCAGCAGATCTCCCGACTTAAAGACCATCCGATTTATTGGTACAGCAGCAGACCTCCCGACTTAAAGGCCATCCGACTTACGGGCTTTCCGACCTGAGGACTTTCCGACCTGCGCCCGAAGACTTTCCGACCTGCGGACCTTCCGACCCGAAGATTTTCCGACCTGCGGACCTCCCGACCTGAGGACCTTCCGACCTGCGGACTTCCTGACCTGAGGACCTTCCGACCTGCGGACCTCCCAACCCGCTATTTCCTTAGAAATATTTTTTTTTACCTGAGTTTCCTACAGTGCCCCTCGTCCAATTCGATCGACTCGATTGCTAGGCCCATTTATCTTTTTACCTTGAGCTTTTTAACCTAATTCTAAATTTCATACGTAGCAACTTGCCCGCCGCCAAGGGACTTTCAAACGCCATTCATCAATCGTCGTTTGGAAGTTCACAAATCACAAACCTACTGAGAAATTACCTTGGCAACTACATCATTTACTGCAACACCCCTGATTCCACCAAACTTTCCTTCCTTTCATACAAGCCTTTGTGAATCATAATCTCTACAACTCTAATCATGGCGAATCAATACATCCCTGCACTCCCTATTGACGGATCACTCCCTGAAACTGCTCTCGTGTCGACGAAGATGCGCACTCCAACTGTTTGTCCATATTGCACAACTGCCGAAGACTCCAACCGAATGAGAGAAGTCCTGGAGGCAAAGAATCTGCTGGCGATCAACAACCCCAACTACAACGCCACTCGCCTCCATGACAACATCAAAACGCACTTGACGGACCCCAAGGATCCATATTGCACCTGGTACCAACGAGTAGCAGAACATTACCAGGGGCAATGGAAAACTCAACAAATTGATCAGGCTATACGTCTGTCAACTCTACCATGTCATTTACATGTGAAAGTCCTCCTGGCCATGGCGGCGTTCTGGCACCCTGAAGTTTGTACCTTCCTTCTTCCAACAGCCCCCATTGGCCCCACTCTCATGGATGTGGCCATGATCGCTCATCTGCCAATTGTTGGGGAAGACCCTGTAATGGGTGCCCTAGATGGGCAGGAACCCAACTCAAATAACTTGGGCTGGTCTCTGACAGACGTGAAAGAATGGGGCTGGACTAAATTCCTAATCGACCAACAAGGAGCAGACGGGACCCCTGTAACCGACTGAGAACACACAGCCTTTATGCTCTTTTGGCTCTGTAAGTATTTTGTAGTCTCTCCTTCGAAATGTGTCCTCCCTTCTCATCTTGATCTTGCTATACACATAGCCTCGGGTCGATTATTTTCATTAGGCACCCTTTTCCTTGCCAATCTCTTTGAAGGGCTATCCAGGGTTAGTGCCCGTTTTACTGATAAGGATGATAAGAAATTAGACACTGCTGCGTCGGGTCCTTTTTGGTTTCTGGAACTATGGTTCCGTCTCTATTTTCCTGACGCCTTCCAACTTGGTCATCCTCCTGCTGCCCCCACACTTGAGAAGTCTCTAGAAGTAGCCCTGAACCGACTTTGCTTAGGCCGTAATAACCTTCAAGCGTCTGATCCAATCATAACTGCCATCCTTATTGATAATCGAAATGATAACCATTTCTACCCACACAAAAGGTATATTGGTTATGCATCTGGCTTGTTTTGGCCATTCCCTGTTCCGTCACCTTTGTCTTAACCAGATCCACTTCCACATCCCACTTATTCTTTCTCTTGGGATGTTGTTCTTAAACCCAGGTCTTTATTCACCAGTAAGAAAATCGATAAAAAAGGTTCCAAAATATTTTATACCTTCAGGTACCAGCCTCAATTTGTGGCACGCTAATTCGGCTGCCAACAAGGCTTGCCTGGTTCCATTGCTCATCCCCATTTAATAATTCAAAGTCCATATGGGAAAGCTATTCCTAATGCAATCGCCCCATACATATCCCAACTCACAAATTACATCACTTCCAACTCTTATATTCCTTTCAAAACTTCTCCAACTTCAGTTGAATCCTTTCGCGAGTGGTGGTCGGTTACTTAGGCCTTGATTGCTCCATATGAGGATCGTCTGCTGGGCATCCTTCTTCCCTCACCTACAATAACATTAGGGGCAACCCCTCTGACCAACATCCGAAGAAACTTGATTACTCAAGGCACTGAGTCGGGTGCTCCTCAGAGGAAGAGAAAAGCCTCTCAAACTCAAACTATTCCACCTTCTGGGGACATTCAACCATCCCCAACAAAACGCCCATCAGGTCGGCCCCCTATGAGGACCCGACCCCGTCCAGGTATACTCTTAATTTAACTTGATTCTTTCCCTAACATGATATTAATCCTTATTTTATACTCAGTTGTGGCTTTAGCTCGGGCAACCGCCCAACCTGCTTCCAGACCAACTAAAGCAGCGAAGCTACCAACCGACCAACTGTCAAAACCTGAGCCCCCGACCAAGCGCCGGGCCTCGAATAAAATACCTTCATCCGCCGAACAGGCCACAACAAGGGTCTCATCTCCCAGTGAGGCGACTGCTTGAGAGATGGGCAGGTTACCCTATGTTGCCTCAGACCCATCCCTGCCTACTATGGCGCCGGTGACCACACCTATATCTGCTTCTGTTGCCTCTGATGCAACCGTCCCAGACACATCAAACAAAAGAGCAGCCGATTTTAGGGTTGCCAACTTCGAGGTTGCCGACCCAGGGGCAGCCGACTTCGAGGTTGCCGACCCAGGGGTAGCCGACTTCAAGGCTGCCGACCCAGGAGCAGCCGACCCTCTACCAGCGGTGGACAGACAGGATGGGGAACCTGTACTTGCTCAACCAAGGGAACTCTTACAGGAGTTACAAGA